AATATTTTAAATATAATTTTTTTATTTATCCAAATTTAAGGTTTACTTACTGGCACATTTTCCTAAAATATAAAACTGAAAGATTACAAAACATATACTACCCATGAAAGACCAAAACATGCATTTGTATAATATTTATCTCTAATTATAAAGCACTTATATCACCTATAATTCTCCATAAAACTTTATTATTGTCTCAAGGATTCAACCATATATACACTAATTTACTTCGCTTACTTGTGATTAAATATGCCCATTTGCTCAGTAATATCAATTAAATAATGTTTAATTTTGTCAACGATTATAGAAAAATTATGTTTACCCTTCATAATTTATTAACTTCCCAATCATCAGAATTTTTGAAACAAAGGCATATAGATGGTTCATGCATGAATTCAACAAATAAAAAATAGTTTAGATTAAAACCATTGAAAATTATTGTTTACATATAACTTAAAATAAAAAATGGTAGGTAAAAAGTGTGTTATTAGAATACCTAGAATTTTATAAAAAAGGTTGATACCTACAAATTAAAATATAAAGCACAAATACTGCTAAAACATAACATAAGAATACAAATTTATAATACAATCACATCAGAACAAGAAGTCAAAAACATTCGGAATTCATTTTAGTAAAAATGTAAAACCTTAGAATAAAAAAATCATGAAAATATCTTGTATAAAGTACATAATATATGCACGCAAAATATACAGCGGGACCTAAAAATGAAGCACAATTTTACCTTAGGCTTAATATTTCAATCACTCTGTATAATAAATTTTTAAAAGAGGTGCACAGGTAACTACACTGTTTGGAAACCACTTCACTTTTTTTAATCTGCTGTTATCACTCTCTCTTGCCAAGGAACTCGCCCTTCATCTGAGATGAAGTAGCTGGCTAATGTGTTTCTTATTCCATATATGAAACGTTTTGTCACATTAGCCCCTAGTCTACCAACAGATTGTAAAGGGTCTTGTTCTGCTCTCCAACTGCCATTTTCTTCACAGTCTCTATCTACAAAATTTGGAGGACAATATATATTTTCATGTCCTAGTTCTGACATTTCAGTTTGACAATAATTATATAATACAACTACAGCCTTTACAATATTGTCTATGTTTTCCACTTTGGCATTAATGGTTGTCTTTAATAACCTCCACCTAGCTACAACTATCCCAAAAGTATTTTCAATAACTTGTCTAGCTCTAGACAGGCTGTAATTGAAAATTCTTTGAGTGTTTGTTAAATTTTTCCCAGGCTACGGCCTCATGATATATTGTTTTAGAGGAAACGCTTCATCCGCAACAAAGAAATATGGTAATGAAGTATTTATGCCTGGTAAGGGTTTTTCTGGGGGTATATCCATGTCACAATTCTCCACCCTCTGCCCAAACATGCTGTGCCTAAACACTCCACCATCACTTTGTGACCCATATGCGCCAATATCCACTGAAGTGAATTTATATTTGTAGTCACATGAGGCCAACAAAACTACACTAAATGTCTTTTTGTAGTTAAAAAATAATGAGCCACTTTTTGATGGAGCCTGTATATTTACCTGCTTCCCATCAATACTTCCCAAGCAATGGGGAAAATTCCAACGTTCTTGAAATCCTTGGGAAATATTAAGCTACTACTCTACAGATTCAGGAATTTTAAGGTATTGAGGACTTAAAACTTCCCATAGAGCTGCACAAGTTGAGTGTATTATGTAATGGACAGTTGAAAGTCCTATATGAAATGTCCATGCAAGGGCCTGCATACTTGTACCTTGGGACAGAAACCTGAAAAATAGTTTTTTATTATCGTCAAAGTTTATAGTGATTATAAAAGCTTACTGAAGAGTGATGACAAGCCTTTGTTCGGTTGATATGCCGTCACTTCTGTACTGCTTGCCTATTCTAGGTTTAATTTTCAACAATTTTTCAAATACAGGAACTGCCATTCTAGTAAATTTGAAGCGCAAAAAAATTTCGTGTTCATTGGTATCAGGAAATGTTGAAAAAATTCGACCGAGGACGTTCAAAATCCGTATACAACATTGTTACAGGAGACGAAACTTAGATATATTCGTATAAACTTGAAAGCAAACAAAAGTCTACTGTTTGGGTGTTTAGCGATGAACCCAATCCCACCAAAGTTGTTCGTTCACGAAGCACTTCCAAGAAAATGATCGCTTGTTTCTTCGGTTGTACTGGACACGTCGCAATCATTCCATCGAAGAACTGTTAATGCCGAATGGTATACAACAATTTGTTTACCAACGGTCTTCAATGAAATAAGGAAAAAAACCTCGCATCATTCTTCATCACGACAATGTCAACTACTATAAAGCACGTCAAACAACTGAATATTTGAAGGGAAAATCGAATTAATGTCTCATTGCCCCTATTCACCCGATTTATCGCCTAATGACTTTTTCTTGTTCCCCACTGTCAAACAAAAAATACGCGGACAGCTCAACACCTCAAGAAGCTGTTGAAGACTTTCAAAACCATGTTTCTACGATATCAGCTTCAGAGTTAAAAAAATGTTTACAGAATTGGTTTGAGCGAATATTTCGAAAAGCAATAAAACACTTTGTTTCGAACTTGTTCGTTTCTGTTTCACTTTTTGTAAAAACTTAAAAGGTAATTTATAGTGGAATTTTAAAGAAAAGTTTACGTTGTTCGGTAAACTAGAAGGTTTGAGGAATTTTGAGGAACCGTTTTGGGAAGTATTAACACTGCCGTTTGTGTTTTATTTGACTGTGGTGTTCTACCGCTTTCAAAAATCATTGATGGATCAACCAATTAGAATACCACTGCCTACCTCTTCTTACTAATTGTCGTATATTCCATCTAGTTAGTTTGTATTCTTTTATTATCACATTGTATATTTGTTTATTTGTCAGTATCTGCCACTTTGGCACTTTGTATTTGGCATACGTTTCGTTAAATAAAGCCTATAGTTTGCAAAGGTTTACTTTATTACACTAATGAAGAATTATGGACTGGATAAGTTTTTATTTTGATTTACTGATTTTTTTCTTTCCTATTTCACTTTAAAGCAAAAAGTACTGTTGGAGGTCGTCAATATAGGAAAACCGGCAACCCTGGACGAGTGCTGCAGCGAAAACCCGATAAAAACTCTCAACGAGTGCGCGAGACGCTATTGTTTTAGTTTTTGATGACATCATTCGTTCGATATTCCTTCTACCATTACGTACTTAAGACCTTTATTTTTAACCATATTGTTTTATTGTTTATTCTTTGATGTATTAATAAATACATAGTGCTTTGACCAAGAAGTATCATTAACCAAAATAAATAGGCACACTGCACGTACTTAAATATTCTGTTAGTATACTGATGGAAAGTCGATTGAACTACATTTTATTTCTCGTCCTTTATTTTTGCGCATTGGTACCAACGCTAAAAATTTGTGGCATTAAATATTTAACGTCACGTATGCCTTTTTTTATATAAATTATAGTTTTTATTTCCGATATTTTTAGAGCTTCGCTCCATTCAACTATTTTTATTTTTATGTTAACTTTTGAATTGACTTATTTAAATTTGTTTTATGGCTTAAGATACCCCTAACATATTTTGTTAATATTTGATCACGACTATTTAATTCTTATAGTTGCAATATAAGGTGTAAGGTAAGGCGTGTCTTTTTTATCCTTTTTACTGGATTTGAGGGATAAGTGAAATCATTCTGAGTTATTTAAAACCTAGTTGGCGTCTATAAATTTAGTTACATCATTCAATTTTTTTTTGTAATCACAACCGTTCTTGTGAATTTACCCACTCCCGTCTCCACTAGAGCGGGCCGGAGCAATATTGGTTGAGAACGGCAACCTCTTACTTTGTCACCGAAGTAAAGATGACAATCTTCCTGGGACGGAATCTTTTGTGTGCAGCTGCCACTTTCGAGATGGAAGAAAAGAAAATTTACCTGAAATATTTTCATTTAATAAAGAAAAAATGTTTTGTTGTGGATACTTGAGCCTGAGTCCTGAAAAACGACAAGAAGTCAAAAGAAAAATAAATTACAATTAACAGAAATAAAGTAAAACATATTTATATTATTATTATTATTATTATAATTATTTTTTTTAGTGACACCTCAAAACTTGTCTTCAAAATCAAAAGAACCTTCCTATTAAAATGTAAGTTGTTTTTTGTTGATAGTATTTTATAATTGTAAGAGAAGAAGATATAGTACCACCAGTTTTATCTGCCACTAGACTGTAGGCTGCAAACTACCTTCTGAACTTGGACCCTCAAAGAGAAGTTAACAAATTAGATAAGGTAGACGTACTTTCTTATAAAAAAATTGCCAATATTGATGCATCAATTCGTGTATATACTGAACTACTAAGAAAATATTTGAAGCTCTGAGTACAATATTGTAAAATATAATAGGTATTTAAGTTGAGGATAGAAAAAATTTATCAACTTCTAAATAATTTATTAAAATTAAAACAGCAAATTCTTCATGCTGATTTAGCTATAAGATTTAAAGTTTCTGACTCTACTGTTTCAAATATTGTCCTTACTTGGATACATGTCCTTTATGAAATCATCTTTAAACTGTTAATGGCTCATATCCCTAACCGTAATAAAAATAAAGTTGCCTTCTCAATTGTTTCACATTTACAAACTAAAGAACCATTTTAGACTGTACTGAAATATTTATTGCTGTTATGTGATTATCTCTACTTCTTCAAATGGATACTTATAGTTCTTATAAGGGGCCTACAGACGCTCGCGCATGTATTAAGACATAAACGTACATTGATGTACGCGCGGTGATGTTCACCAGTGTGTAGACAAATATTTTGCAAAAAGACCGGCGCACATGTTTTCTGTTCTCGTTTGAATTCAAGTCCGCACAGGTTTGTATGCGCAGACATGTATCCCTGTGTGTAGGCAAAAACTTACTAATTGTGAAACACTTTGCAGTGTCGTGTATTGGTTTTTAAAGGTTACTTATTTTGGTTTGTGAACATGGCAGATATAAGGAGTTATTCGAAAGAATTCATATCAGAGTTCATTGAATTATATAAATCATATCCATGTTTATGGAAAGTAAAAGCAAAAGAGTACATGGATCGAAACAAAAAAAATGAAGCTTACAAAGTGTTAGTGCAAAAACTTCAAGAAGTTGAGAAAAATGCCACGAAAGAAATGGTTAAGACTAAAATTAACAGCCTTCGATCTAGTTTCCGAAGAGAATTAAAAAAAATTAAAGAGTCCAGAAGATCAGGCGCCGGAGCCGATGATGTGTATGTACCACATTTATGGTATTTTGAACTTCTCTTATTTGTAAAAGATCACGAGACCCCTAGACAGTCCGTTAATAACATTGAAGATGTTGGAAACGAAAGTGAAAGTGACAATCGTCATTCAGAAATAGAAAATGAAGAAGATCTAGAACTGGAGGTAAGGTTTAATTTATTTATTGCAATGTCTAGTCAATCGCCAATGCCATTTGGTTCATTAGAGTAAATAACTATCATATTATGTTATATTAAAAATTAGAAGCAAACAATTTTTATTATTTATTACTTATATTTTATAATATGGGTGAATAAATACTGAGTTATAAAATTTCTATTGTAAGCTAGTGTGGCCGAGTGGGTAAAGTTTCACCCCCTCTTTCTTCGTTCTTCACGGGGTGCTGGGTTCAATCCCCGCCCTAGAAAGATCATTTTAAATTTTTTTGAGGGATGCATTTTATTTTGGTAGATATTTAAGTAATAAATGAGTTTACGTTAAATAATTGATTTATATTGTTTTCTTAAATAATAACTAATAAAAAATTACAGAATGATATTTAAGTAATGCAACAAATTAAACTAGGACTTCACTTTTTATTAAATTAAATTCTTGAAGGCAGTAAAAAAATCGATATCTTATAAGAGATTTTAGTGCATTTATTACAAAGCCTGAAATAGGTACATACTAGTAAATAAATTAAGAAATCATTCTTTCCTGCCAAGGTATGGCGCCTTCGCTATTGAAATAATTTATAAATAACTGCCTAACTTCTTGTGCATCCTTGTTGGCTCTTCTATTGTAACCCCGTTGCAAACTAGTCATTTGATTTGCTTGCAAGCCTAATTCAACACTGCCATCTTCAAGATTTTCCCTATATAAGTTGTTGTCAGAGGCATACGTAGTGGCATATCTTCTTCTCAAAAAATTATGCAGAACACAGGACGCTATTACCACTTTGTCAATTGCGTTTAAGTTAATAGATATAGCTGTGTGGAATATTCTAAAACGGGTAGATAGTATACCGAAACTATTCTCTACATCTTGCCCTTGAAAGCCGATAATTAAAAATGTTCTTATCATGATCCAATTCTCTCTGAGAAAATGGTTTTAAGAAATCAGAACGAAGAGAAAATGCTTCATCGCCAATAAAAACAAAAGGCAGTGCTTCTTTACCACCCACTTGTCTTCTCGGGGATGGTATGGACAGTGTCCTATCTTTAAGCTTTCGGTAAAAAAGGCTGTGCTCAATAACTCCTCCGTCAGAGATACGGCCATTTATACCAAAATCACACATAATAAATTCATAGTTTGCGTTAACCACTGCCAAAAGAACTAGACTGTGTGCCCCTTTGTAGTTATAAAAATATGAACCACTTCCCGTAGGCGGTTTTATGTTGACATGTTTGCCATCTACGGCCCCCAAACAGTTTGGAAAGTTACATTTCTTCTCGAAGTCGTCTGCTATATTTTTCTATTCATCCTCAGTTGTTGGAAACTAAAAAAATATACGTATTATTTTATTTTGCAGGAAACTAGAGATGATGTAATTGAAAGTCAAGACAGTGAGTTTAGTTTAGTAGAAAGTCCAAGACCGTGTAGTAGTCAGTCTACTATCCCACAGAGTTCATCACATTCTCGTTCCAATCAAGAAAAAGGTATATCGCGGTCTACAGTTCAAAATCAAGGGAAAAAGAAACGCAAGACAAAATCTGATGACCAAAGCCAAAGAACAGATGACGTGTTAGCTCTAGTAGAAGGGAGAATAAGCTCCTATAATGAAGATCAATTTGCCATTTTTGGAAAAAATGTCGCAGCAAAATTAAGAGCACTTCCTAAAGAAACTAGATTATATACTGAAAAGGTGATAAATGACCTACTGTTCGAGGCCGAGATGGGTAACGTTAGAAAAAATACTAGGATTACTTCATTAGACAATGATTCACAGAATCTAAACAATTTTTTAAGTGATGGCGCTTTACGTGCTAACACTGCTAACCATCATAACTACAATAATTTAGATCAAAATACCAATCACCAACATCAAGGTCAGACATATTTAATCAATACAAATATATCTGACACAAGAAGTCAAGCTCAAACTTATTATCGTACCACGACACTCCAACCACAGAGCCTCGAAATAAATCATCCTCAACAAATTAACAACAGAAGCTCCGACATTGGGCCAATTTCAAATTTTTTTGGAGAGTACAACCCTCTAATTGACGATAACACCAAAACTTACAATTAAATTCAAATATATTCATGTGTTATTATTATATGTATAACATTATACATAAGTACTTATTAAAAAATACTTGGAAACTTGTATGTATTTTATTTATTTTACTACTTATACAAAGGGTGGTGATTAATTGTGGCCAAACTTGGAGGTGTTGTTCCTTAGTCAATTTTAACACAAAAAGTTAAAATATAAAGATGTGTCTGGAAATGCCTCGTTTCAGAGATACATATGGTGTTAAAACTGACATTTTATTTTGTATTTTTTTTTTAATAATTTTTTTCCCCCAAAATTAGGTAACCCACCCGGTTTATATGAGTAATTATGATTTGTAATCAACTTTTATGTAGCCCATAGAAGGCGCTGAGATCGCCATCATTATTTAAATTTACCCTAACTTTTTTGGCAGTAATTTCTGGTATTTTTTATGTTCTTGCACCTTTCTTTATAAAAAAGGTGCACTTATTTTGAAATTTATGCATCTATGCAGTCCCTTGGGCGCTAGATGGAGTTCTAGAAGTTCTAGTTGTTTATCTAGGGCCTAAGAGACGCAAAACTTAATTAAAAAAATAAATTTCAAAATCCTGTATCTCCTAAACGAAGCATTTCCGAACACATGTTTATATAAAATTTTAATCTTTGAATCGACTGAGCATTAACACCCTTAAGTTTGGCCACAAAGTTAATTAACACCCTGTACTGTAGATACTTACTTACCTTCATATAATCATCCTTCAGTACTTTATAAATAGCGCTACATGTCTCTGGAATTATGTTGCACAATGATTGTGGAGAAATCAGGGTGGAAAATTTCAAGTCTTCATAATTTCTCCCAGTTGCCAAATACCGCAATGTGGCTGATAGTCTTTCATGTGTCGATATAGCAGATCTCATCTGTGTGTCCTGTTTTTCAATAAGTGGTGTAACCAAATTTAAAAGTATTACATAACTATCTTCATCCATCCGGAGATAGTTACGCCAATCGTCAGGTTCGAATCGTAGCTCTTCAAGTAAACTATATGAGAATATTGGTTCCTCTTTAATAGCCAATCTTTAACCCATCTTCTTCGTGGCCGACGCCTTTTCTTCAATTGATGTTGATTTTTCTTTTTAATACAAATGCACGCCACTGCAAGTAACATTAATTCTTCTTCGCTCGACATGGCGACAATCTTTCAATACGACGCGGCGAAAACTGACATACAAGTATGTACGTGTAGGGATAAAAGTAGACCTACATACATAACCGCGCGTACATCAACATGCGTTTATGTCTTAAAACATGCGCCAGCGTCTGTAGGCCCCTATAAACATAGAAACATATTTAAAGGCTTATCAGATACAGCACCAAATGGAGTTACAACTTTTGTAAATGATTTGTATGTGGGATTCACATCTGACAAAAATATTTTAAAAGATTGAGGAATTTTGGATAATTAGATTTTGTAGATCTCATTTAGACAGATAAAGGTTTTTTAAGTATACCACCATTTATAGTTACTGATCAATTTACTACAGTACAAATGCAAAATCTTTTCCCAGTAACCATGTAAAACCAACTGGACAGTCGGATAAACTAACTAGGTGTTGACAAATTTGATTCGAGATGTTGACGTGAAAAAATATAGTTATTTATTATTTTATTGTAGATGGAAAAACGTAAACACACGGTAGAACAAATCGAAAATGTTAAGAGAATGTCAAGAATCAAGTTGTCAAAAACGGGAAGGTTGTTGTCAAGAATTACAAACTTTGGCATAATATGTCCATATAAATTTAATTCCGCTTGCTTTATTTACAGTAGTTTCTAAAAAAACTATTATGACTCTCATTCAGTACTTTTCAAATTAATAAGAAGAAAATGACACCAATGAGATCATACTTTCTGACACTTCTTATCATAAAACTAAGAATTCCACGACATATTCAAGTAAATGTTCCACAAGATATAGTTTTTTTGTAACTCTAAACTTATTCTGAATATTTAAATTTAAATCCTCACATAACTACATACACGAGAACTGATAAATACGAGAAAAAGTAATCTTGGAACCAACTGGTCTAATATTTTACATCATAAAATTGAGATAGCTTTAAGATTTCTAGGTTATACATGCACGTTTGTTTTTAAAAGATGCAAAATTAATTTATCAGGAAAATATTTTACTACAATATATGATGCATTGAAATGGAAGCAGGTGAAAATAAGAACGTGACCAATATTTTTGAATGTACGGGAAATTTTAGTATTACACATAATATTTTTAAACGACCGATAAATTGGCATTAAAAGGAAAAAAAATTGCGAGAAACTAAGAATAACACATATTGCTCTATCTTAGTACAAAGAGATTACGTGCGGTTAACGAGATTCAAGAGGACATTGAATCTTCAAGTTTACCTAAATTAGCGGTTATACGAAACATCAAACACGACAGTCAATTCAAGTTGATAAACATCTCATATTAGCCGTTGAGAAATTAAAAATAACCTTGATACGAAAGGATCCATTACAAATATTGGTTTGGATCTTTTTTTTGTATATTTATGGACCAATGCACAATTGCATGTTTTTAACAAATATTGTAGGAAGACTATGGAATACTTTCAATCGATGCCACTGGTGGTGTTTTACGCAGTGCCATAAAACCTTCTGGAGACAAAACAAAACATATTGCACATGTATTCCAAAACCGTCACTATACAAAATTTTTCATAACTGTTATTTTGAGCTTAACCCTTTCATGCATATTGTCCACATATGAGGGCATAACTTTAAACATATATAAAAAATACTGAATCGCTCAAATTCACTATAGTTAGTTCTTATTGTCCTCATATGAGAACCATAATAGTAAGTAATCGAATCGGCAGGAAGCGCCGGCAGTCGTAAACCTTGAAAACTGAGTTAGCGCGTAAAATATATCCCGACTCGTGTTAGTGTATAAACGGCTGTGTGTTTACCACTTTTTGATATCGTGTTTCGACATAATACCGACAAATTTTGGTAAGTTAAAATAAATTAACTGTTTTTAGAATGTGTGTCGAGGGTATTAGATTAGTTTTATTTACACAATTAGCGAAATTTATTGTATTTTTTGACAAAATACGGAGGTCCTCATATGGGGACAACATGGCGAACATCAATCTCATTTGTCCCCATTTGAGGACAATGTGTGTTCAAGTTATTATTGTATTATTTTGATTATTTCTTCAAAAATATATTTTTTTTACTTTTCAGCCTAAAAATGCAGACATATAAAGATCCTTTATTAGGAAATAAGGAATTGGAAGAAATCGTAGAAAGTGGTATACTGTTTGAAGATAATTTTGGAATCGAGAAGGAAAGTCTTTTACAATATAATCATTCCACAGACCTGATACATCCGTCTTCCCAAATTATTTCAAAAAGTATGGATGTAGAACCTAGTACTTCTTCAAAAAGTCTTGAGGCACAACCGAGTACGTCAAAATGTAGTAATGATTCTCAAAATAAAATTGAAGAACGTCCAGCTACTGCATATTCATACAAATATGATCGCCGCAGATCACTTACTATAAAAGAATTAGAAGAGGTGGCGGAGGGGTCTGAAGACGGATTTGAACTCTCAGATGAAGACGAAGAACCTTTTGAAACTGATGGATCGGAATATATTCCTTCAGACTTCAATGAGGAAGAAAGTATAGGAGAAGACGAAGACTCTGCCGATACCAATTATGAAGAAGACGAAGTAACAGAAGAAACATCAGAGCCCACGATTCAAGAAGATCAGTTAGAAGTGAAAACGAAAACAAGGAAACGAAAAGAAGCAAAATCAATTGTATCTAAGAGTAAAAGATTAAAAAAAACGAGAACTAAAACCAAAGAAATTACTAGAAGGTGGATTTTGGATACTGAACACCCTTTAGCGTCAAATGTTCCCGAATGCAGTAAAGAACACAAAGTAAATATCAACTTTCAATCTTCAGGTGACTACTTCTCTTATTTTTTTAGTGATAGTTTACTTTATGATATCGCATATCAAACTAACTTGTACGCTCACCAAAATGGAAAACCAAATTTCAACTTAACGGTACCGGAATTAAAAATTTTCCTAAGTATTACAATAATGATGACTTACATAAAATATCCAAGAATTAGGACTTATTGGAGTGCAGATAGTGGTCTCCGAATGAACTTTATCGCAGCTGCCATGGCGGTAAACCGTTATGAAGCAATTAGACGCTATTTGCATTTTACTAATTCCGAAGAAATTCCAGAGAACAACACAGATAAATTTATTAGAATACGACCAGTTTTAGATCACTTACATTCAAAATTTCACGAAGCTGTTGATCCGGAAGAGTATATGTCTGTGGATGAAATGATGATACCTTTTAAGGGTCGTTCATCTGTGAAGCAGTACCTGCCCAAGAAACCAAAGAAATGGGGCTATAAAATTTGGGTATGTGCAGGAACATCGGGTTATATGTACTGTTTTGAAACATACCAGGGAGCTTCTGGAAATAGGGAAAATATCACCGAATTAGGTGTAGGTGGTGACGTCGTAATGCGATTATGCCATGATATAAAGGGTGAGAATTATAAGATTTTCGCAGACAATTTTTTTTTCAGCATTCCATTAGTTCTTGCTGCTAAAACAGAAAAGATATGGTACCTTGGGACGATAAGAATTATTAGACTTGAGGGAGCTGGAGAAGTTTTAAAGAGCCACAAGGATCTAAAAGTTGATGGTCGCGGTAGCTCTTCAATTGTAACAGCTGATGGAGTGTCCATAGTACGCTGGCTGGATAACTCATTGGTACATACCGTATCTAACTATGTAGGTCTAACCCCCTATGAAGAAGCCACCCGATTTTGTCGAAAGCAGAGACAAAACATAAAAATCACTAGACCTCGAGCTATAACTGTTTATAATAAACACATGGGAGGCGTCGATCTCATGGATATGCTGGTAGCACTTTATAGAAACGACACAAAAAATCGAAGATGGTATATGAGAGTTTTTTACCATTTCTTAAATGTAACAATTGTGAACGCGTGGCTAATCTGGAGGTTTAATAAACATGAACCGTTAGACTTACTGTCATTCAAAAGCCAAATTGCTACATCTCTAATTTGTAAAGGAGAAGGGCAGATGAAAAGAAAAAGGTAGGCCACGTAGCAAAACTCCACCAACTCCATCACACATAAGGCGACCTAGAATTCACGTACCAAACGAAAGAAGGTTGGATAATATTGGCCACTGGCCAACAAAAAATGAACAAAAAAATGCTTCTAGGTGTAGGGAAGCAAAATGCAAACGGAAGACACGGTATTCCTGTAGCCGTTGTAAGGTGGCATTGTGTCCGGAATGTTTTGGGGATTACCATGAGTAATATTAGCACACTTTGTCCTCACATGAGGACATTTTTTTTTTGTTTACAAAAATGTAACTTTTTTCATTTCTATCAGTTTGTTAACAACCAATAAATAGTTATTAATTAGATTTGTAGCTATTTTATTTTTTTTGGGTTGAAAAAAAAAACATGCATGAAAGGGTTAAAATCTTCTCAAAATCTACCCGCAGCAACGACCCCGCAGCAACGACACTATACGAAATATTAAAAGCTTGCATCAAACTTCGTTAGATAGCGTAAGTGTCACTACAACGATTCTAGAATTTAAAAAAAATACCTACCGCAACAGTGACATTAAGCCAGTCGTGACACTTCTGCGAAGCAGATCTAATGTTATAATTTGTGCAAAGGTGACATTATTCGTTTAGTTGCAGTTTTCCTAATTTTCAAAAGGTAAAAATAGTTATTTTAAGACACAATAGTGTCACTTTCGATTTAGTGACATTGTGAAATTATTTGGAAACATTAAAAAGCAAATGTTATTTCTGGAAAAATGACATTATTTGTTTAAAGACGTTTTTTCGCTAAATATATTTCATTAATTGATTATTATGAAGGCGATAATTTCAAAAATTTATTTAGTGTCATTCTTGCACACATTTTTTGGTTTCATTTTTTTATGGTGACGTTATCATTTTTAAATATTTTTATATATTTTATAAGTTTGTGAGTTTTGTGAGTTTTCTAATGTTAAATTCTCTTTATGTCAAAATCTACTTTTTAAATTTTATTTATTTTGGGTTTTCTTTTGTAGCAAGCAAATATAATTTGAGGTGCTTTATGTAAGATGTAATATTTTTTGTGCGACTTCCAAAACATAAAACAAATACTGGATTTTTTCAGTCGCGATGTTGATTTTTTTTATCGGCTTTCTTTGTTTTTAGTCCAATATGCCAAGAATAAATATAATTATGAATCTTGCTCTTAAAAATAAAGAGGTGCCAACACACAGCAATGATCCAAAACAAATTTCTCCCAAGATTACCGCTATCGAAACGCCTTTAACACCATGTGGCCAAGCAGTACCTGCATGTAATTTAAATTCATCTTCGGGACCGTCTACCTCTTTATTAGTTACTGTACCACTGCAAAAGATTACAACGTTGTCTCAGGAAGCATCTTTGCTATCAAATACTGCTTCTAAAGTACCTGACGTTCAAGAACAAAGTGCCTGTCCAAAATCAGCACTATTGTCGAAAGCATCAAAATCACCAACTTCAGATATATCGACTTCTTCATCAAGTTGTTCAAGCTGTAGCTCATCAACTTCTTCATCGTCCAAAACCGATCCATTCCTTACTGACGAAGATGAAGAATATTTTCCTTCTCGAGCAGTAAAGGAGCAAGAAGGAAATAAATCATCTAGTTGTGAATCGACTACCTCTGAACAGAGAGATAAAGAAATATCTCCCAAAAAAAGAAGGAAGGGGCAGATTTCTAAGAAGAAAATGACGAAAATGCTTAGGGATTCTGGTAAGCAGTATGTTTCTTTATCAAAATCAAGGAAACTCATTCCTGCTAAAAAAATGGGTACACCTTGTAGTTTAAAATGTCGCCTTAAATGTTCAGGAAACATAAATGAAGATGAGAGAGCAAACATGTTTGAGAGTTACTGGAATTTAGCCAGTATAACAAGACAGAGAGATTTTATTGCAGGCTGTATGCATGTCATTTGCCCTAAATATCAGTATAAAATGACCAATAGTAATCGTAAACCTAAACATGCCTTTTATTTAACAATTAAATTAGTCAAAATAAGGGTATGTAAAATATTTTTTAAGAATACTCTTGGGATTAATGACAGGCCTATTAGGACTGTTATTAACAAAATTAATAGTCAAGGTGTTGTTGAACCGGAAATGCGAGGCAAATACGGAAAACAAATAAAGTTGAGCAAAGAAACATCAGCTGGAATAAAAGAACACATCGATTCAGTACCGCGAATCGAAAGTCACTATCTGCGGAAACAAACATCTCGGGAATTTGTAGACGGCGGTAAAAATTTGATGGATTTATATCGAGACTACAAAGATGATTGCTTAAAAATTGGTCGTGAACCAGCTCAATTTCATAGTTATAGAAAAATATTTAAAGAAAATTATAATATAAGTTTTTTTGTTCCGAAAAAGGACCAGTGTGAGCTTTGCACGTCATACAGTAACGCCGATGAGAATCAAAAGGTTGAACTTCGAGAAAACTATCAAAAACATCTTTTAGAGAAAGAATTGAGTAGAAAAGAGAAAGAAAATTATAAAAAAACGGGTCAATGATAATTTTGTCGTGTCATGCTATGACCTCCAGGCGGTTTTACCCCTACCTAAAGGTGATGTTTCTACCTTTTACTATAAGTCCAAAATTAACGCTTATAACTTTACAATCACTGAGTTAGCAAGAGATGTCTGCGAATGCTTTGTTTGGAATGAAGTTGAGGGACTCCGAGGTGCGAACGAAATTGGTTCTTGTGTCCTAAGTTACTTGAAAAATAAATCGGAAGCGATAAATAATGACCATTTGGAAATTATATTTTATTCTGATAATTGCTGTGGGCAGCAAAAAAACCAATTTATGTTTTCAATGTATATGTATGCACTAGCCAATTTTAAAATAAAAAGAAATACTCATAAATTTTTAATAACCGGGCATACACAGAATGAAAATGACTGTGCACTCTGTAATTGAAAAGGAGATTAAGAAATATTTAAGATCTGGTCCAATTTACGTACCTGATCAGTATATAGGGTTAATTAGAACTGCGATAAAAAGAGGATATCCGTATAAAATCAATGAAATGTGCTACAAAGATTTCTATGACCTCAAAAATATGGCAGATAAATGTGGCAGCCGATTTACTAAAAATACCGATGGCAAAACTGTCAAAATAAGTGATATAAAAATTATTAAATTTGAAAAGTCAGAAAACAAGGAAATCCAGGTATATTATAAAAACTTGTATAGTGACGAAAGTTTCAAGAAAATCGACTCATCGCAGCCTCGGTCCACACGTCAAAGTCGGCAAAATTTTAAATTACAAAAACTTTACACAGCAAGACTTACGTTAAGCGAACGAAAAAAAAGCGACCTCAAAAGTCTCATTGAAAAGAACTTGATACCCGCATACTACTCCAACTCCTTCTATAATGATATATTATAAATTAGTATTATTTTTCTTTTTTTTTTTTCGTTGCTTAAGTTATTGAAAACAATTTACTTATTTCTATATTTAAAGTTCTTAGTACATTTTGAATTATACTGTTAAAAATTAAATTTTTAAGTTCTTTTGATGTTCCTCTTAATAAATAATATTTATGTTAAGTTGTTGCAGTGTAAAATATGTTTATGTTAGCTCATAAATATATTATAGAAAAAATAATGTAACATTATTTATTAAAGAAAATAAATGTGAATTTTTTTTATTTTAAGGTATTTCTACTACGATGTTTATGTTTTCTATGTAACAATATATTTTTCTTATAAAATAATTTTTTTAAACGCTATTTTAAGCTAATTTTACAATTTTTTTTGACACAATATTTCCAATATTATGAAAAGTAAATGAAAAAGTGACACTATTAAATAAAAAAATTAAAAAAAAAATCAAACTTCTTAAAGCATATTATTTTTTTTTGCTTTAACGACTAAAATAAACCATTTTTATCATCTCATTATAAAAATACTAAATATATTTCCCTTCAACTCCGTTTTATATCTAAATTATTTTTATTGGAAATTTTTAAATGCGTTTCCTCTAAAATTTAACCTTTTTGTATAGTGACGGTCTAGGAATAAGTGTGCGATATATTTCTTCATCAAGAAACAATACATCATAAAAATTTCAAAAGGGAAAATCAATATCTAGTCACTAGTATGTCTAGTGAAGCGCATATTCGAGATCCAGCAACAGTACGAGACGGTACCTGTGTGACGAGCGGACGAGAACAGCCGAAGCAAATCAGAAGCGTTGCGGAAGTCACTGCGAAAGCACACTCCCGCTGAAGCACCTGAAGCAGAAGCACCCTAGGTTATATTTAGTATTTTTGAAATTTCTTTTCAGAAATTTTAATTAGAAAAATATTTCCATAGAATTCCTAAAAAGCGACCTAATCAAATAGCCCTATTTCGAAAAATTATTTTTAGAGTTTTTCTTAAAAAAGGCTAATATTTTCGAATAAGATTTGGAAATTGAATAATAGATCGACACTAACCCCCTTTTTTTCACAGGTCAATAGCCCAATTTTGGAAAATTTCTTTTTAGAAATTTTCCTTAAAAAAGGTTATTTTTCGCATAGCGAATATTCGAATAGATAGATCTGTCAACATATAATAAACGACAACTAATCCATTTCTTTCAGCTTGGGACTACTAGACGACTTCAAGACTACTGGACCAAAATATTGTGAGTATAACATAACTAACAAACGTCATCCGACTAGGGTCAAGCCACCATTGCCGGGGTTAACAGCCCTTGAGTTGTGAGGTTGCAACTCACTAGTCGGATCAGGGACTCCCAATCACTAAACAAACAAACTCAGCAACTTCCTCCCAATAAACCTTTTGTCACCACCATGGTGGTGACACGCAAAAATTCCTACGCCGGATCTGCTGCATCTGCCCCGCAGCAATACGGCCAAGGCCCAAATTCAATGGCCACAATCTCCTCCCCAACATCCAGCCAAAAAAGTTCTAACTCAATCCCTTCTCTCATGGATCGAACGATCCAAAAACCCTCCAACATCTTCCAAAACCTCCGCGACAACACCCCCCTAAAAACACAACAACCCGCCCCAAACCCCACACTACCCGACAACCTACCCAACAGACCCCTCCGCCCTACACAAACACTATATGTTCTCAGGAACATCCCCACAGCTTACTCCACCCAAAAGGCCTTATTTAACATCCTGAATACTCAGGAACTATTCCGCCAGAACCTCGTTTTTGTGAAGGCCAACTTCAACAAAACCGCCCTAATCAAAACCACCTCTACCAAAACCCCCACCGAACTACAGACCCTCATAAGGCAGCGAATGGGGGACAACAAACTAATCCTTAATCCCAAATACGCACAAAACCACCCAGAAAAAATCACTCGATCCCCCCCTGTCCCCAATTCTCTCTTGTCATCCGCCAGGTTGACAAAAATATCTCCCTGGAAGAAATCCAAGATGTTCTCGAGGACCTTAGCATGCCCTATACTAAAGTATGGAGGATAAGGTCTCAGAAAACGCTTGAATATACTTCCTTCATCAGGGTGCTGACTCCTTCAGAGTCGCACTACTCCTACCTAATTCGAGAGGGCTTCGGCATCTTCGGTCGAAGACACCCTGTAGAACCCTCCAACCAAAACCCCCTGCCTCCCATTCCCAAATATTGCACCCAGTGCACCGGCCTTGGACATTCGGCCTCAGAATGTACCAAAAAACCCGCCTGTCCCAACGACGGGCTGCACCACAGGCCAGCTGAATGTAAAAAGTCAGAGGTGCCAAAATGCCCAAATTGTCGCGGCAACCACCCTGCCTACTCAAGCACATGCCCCGAACGACAAAAGCCCCCGCAGAAACCCGAACAGGTGGCGCCTGTCACCCTCCCAACATCCACCCACCCCCCCCCCAGGAGCTAACATCAGAGCTCAAGATCTCTATCCAATTATTCTCGACTCTTCTGATGAACCTCCTACCAAATAGTCGAGAAATTCTCACCAAAATCTTGGGAACGCTAATCCCGGCCATATTCAGCCATTCATGCACCGTAACAGGACATGGAAACTTAGCAATCTTCACATACTCCCCGATAAACCCTGACCTTTAATGGACTGTCTAATCGGCACAATAAACTGTAATGGCCTCGCTCGGAAGAGGCCATTAATCAAAAATCTTTTAAATTCAGAAAACCTGCAAATATTATCTCTTACAGACACCAAGTCAAAACTTCCCCCCAGCTTCACTGGGTATCAAACAGTACATTTAAATAAATCCCAAAACTCTTTTGGGACTGCTCTTTTAATTAAAAATTCAATTCCATTCAACTCTCACACTTTTCCAGCTCATCTAGCTGAACTAGACATAATAGCAATAGACCTCCCGATAGACAATCCATTAACAATCATCTCTTACTACAACCGCCCAGGCCAAATCATTTCCCTACCACTGATAGAATACCTATCCTCTCTCCCACGAGCCGTTTTGCTTGGAGATTTGAACTCCAGACATACCATGTTCGGAGATCACGCCTCTAACCCTAACTGAATCCGCCTAGCTAATCTGCTCATAGACTTCCCCATATTCAGAGCCTCAAACCGACTCCCTACCTTCGTATCCCACCTGGGATCATCTATCATCGACCACATCCTCCTGACAGACTCCTGTACTGGACTGGTTGCTGATAGATGCTTCATAGGTCCGATCACCTTCCTTTGATGTTACACACATCTCTACTAGCTCCAATCCCGCCAAGAGCTACCATTCACACCTTCCGAAACCTCAAAAAAGCAGATTGGCCCCTATTTCAGAGAACTATCTCTACTAACATTCCAGAGCAACGCCCGCTCAACTCCCCACAGGACATCGACACCATAATCGACGAAGTCCAAACCTCCATCACCCACGCCGTCGAAACATCCACCCCCATCACTTCTATAAACACAGCCCAAAAAGCCCTCCCCCAATTCATCCTTACTCTCATCTCCCAAAAACGACGCCTGTATAGACAATACGTCCGTACCCACGACCCTGTCATCAAAACAAAATGGAACCGCCTCAATGCCCTGATCAGGCTCCAAATCAACTTGCACAAACAACAACAATGGATCAATACCACTTCTAATTTGGATCATAGAGACGGCTCCAAGTTTTGGGACAAATTCCGTATAATCACGGGTCAAAAATCCAAAACTCACTCCCACCTCCTAATCGACGGTCAAATTCACTCCACCCCCGACGAGAAAGCCATGGCCCACAAAACACACCTCCAAGCCACATTCAGAACCCCCGACAACCCCCACTTTGACGAACAATTCAAAATCGAGACCGAACAACACGTCCTTCAGACACTAGCCGCCCCACTCCCCCCTTTGGATGTCGAAAATCCCCTTACCGCCCCATTCACCCCCCAAGACATCCAATACGCCTTCCAAGCAGGCAAAAAAACGGCCTCCGGGCCTGACTCCATCCACAGGAGAACGCTGAAGCATCTTCCTGAAACCATCTTTCCCATCCTCACTCTTATCCTAAACTCCTGCCTCTCCCTATCCTATTTTCCACTTGCCTGGAAATCC